TGCCACACCACAGTTCCCTTGGGAGAGTGACGGGTCACTCTCATGTAACCCCGTTACATCTGCACAGAAACCAATGAGAAATTTCAAAACTCTCCTACCAACAACCGTCCTAAGCTGCAGCACACTGATAGCATGAAGTATACACTTCAGGTATCCTGGCCAACAACTTGGATGCTTACCGCTGGTAAGCAGGAGTCAAAGGCAGATAAAACCTTCGCTTCTAGTCGAAATATTGGTGAAATCCAAAAGCAAAACGTGAAATTCGCACAATTTTTCAGCTTTGTATTGTGTTTCGGCTTGATAAATTTGAAAATGCATTTAAATTTGTAGCTCTTCCGAATATTATTGCACTATACTGTGCGTCCTGTCAGCAAGATACGGCTAAACAATTCCTATAGATTCTGCCATTTTCGTACTGCTTATTGCCTCCTTATATTTGGTACTCAACTGCAGCAATTTTAGATACAAATGAACAAAGTAAAATGTAGTTTTTGCATGCCCCATCGCTGTGAAACCATTAATTACTTTATCACTGTGGCCATCTCGATTTCATTTGCCAAACGATGAAGTTAACAGCATGCTAGACAAATTTCTTGAGCCGTAAACCTAAGGTTGCGAGCTCACATGCCCTCTTCCTCATCTTCGTCTAAAAATCCACGAGAAGGCATGTAGCCACGAGGGCTCTTCGCAGCAGCACGTTCCGCCGGGTGAAGCATGCGAGACTTTTCATCTTCCAGATCGTAGTCGTCGTCCGTGGTCTGATCCTCAAGCGGCATATACTCGGCCAGAATACTACGCACCTGGTCACGCATGTGGCGTTGAGTACGACGCCAGTAGACAAAGCCACCTGCTGCAACTATTCCCACAAATGCGAGCAGCACAACCACGAGCGACATGAAGGAGTAGCCGCTGTTGCCAGTAATGGCAGCCGCATTGGCAAGACTACCCACTTTTACGCAGTCTAATAGGCCAACTGACGATTGGGAAGCACAAGTGCAAACTTCAGGAGGGTCGTGCACACCATAGCCTGCACATACCATACCCAAAATGCTAGTCGGATCTACACGACCACGAGCATGGACTCCATCAACGTATAGCGCCGGCAGTCGCAAAAGTTGAAGTGCTGTCTGCTCCTTGAGCTCCTCCTCAAGAAGTGGGTTTACCTTGTCAACATCAATACCATAAGGTTGCATGCAATCTTCAACCGCATTGGTGTCAATGTTCAGCTTCTTCATAACATTCTCAGCGCACGATTGCTCACGAAACATATTCTCATCCTGCCCACATGTTTCCGCGGAGGCTCCAACATACTCCCACCATTTTTTTCCAACACCCGGATCAGTTTTGCTCTCCAGGTTCCAAATACATTTACGTCGTAGATTCTCAAGCACCACATCAGCTCCCGACGCTCCAGTCGAGCGGTCATGGAAAGGTGAAGGGTCTAACAGGCAGTAGCGACCATTGTTTAGGCACATATTGCCGCAGGCCGACATATTTGACGCATCATGGTCACGGCAGCCCACTTTTGTCCCGTTGTATGATACAAAATGCGGTGTAAAATAGGCACGATCACCGAGTGCTGAGATCATTCCGTCAAGATTAGACAGAGTTGATGAAGTTTGCTCATCCCATGCGCTCTGCCACAGCGTCCATTCCACACGACCATCAGGCGAAGGAATACCCCAGTCAAACTTAACCATCACATTGCTGACACCCTTGCTCTGCGCAATTTCGCGCTTGATAGCGTCACCATCACTTTTACGAATCAACATACTGGGAATAGAAATATCTCCGCCTGACTCATCGTCTGCCATAAATGGCAAAACCGTCTCACAAAAGTCGTCGCCAGTCTCTCGCAAACACTCCACGTCGGTGCACAGGCACTTATTATCTGCAATCAGCACGGCACGCGCACCGGCATGTTGAGCACGACGCACCTTTTCCACAAAATGACAACCACCACGGTCCAACATGAGCGCAAAAGGCGGTTCCCAATCGCCATTTTTTATCTCTTCGCAGCCAGAATCATTCGTGTAAACCAATTGGGTCTGAAGGGAGCCCATTGAGTATGCCGGATAACCAAACAGCGCATCTTTATGCGCGTATCCATCCTTTTTCATGAGCTTTTCTGGCAAGACTACCTGCAGCTTCGTGTGGTCACTCTAAGTACGAAAGAAATAATGAAAAGCAATAAGAGGCTGAATAGATGGGACGACCATGTCAAATGAGCTGGACGACATCGTATCATTAATGTACCTCTGTAGACGGCCATTCGTCCACATCCATAGCGCGAGAATGCACGGAAGAGGGAGCGGTGAGTGCCAGTAGAGCCGCGAAATGCAGGAAGGATTGTGACACGACCATGGCGGTGTCGAATGTAGAATGAAGGTGAGAAACGCGGACAGGTACTATATATATCGCCCAGCCCAGTAAAAGTACCAATCAGAAACATTCTAAATACTAAACTTTATCTTAGCCTATTGTACAGCATGTAGAAAATCCTGAAGTAACGTAAAAAAACAAATTATATTTGCCTCAAAGATACTTCATGTTCTGCCCAACTTTCATGTGTGTGTAATGTTCGCGTCTGCATAGAACTAGCCATGGTGCAAAGAAAACTTTTGTTCAGAGAGGCGGTCGACGTAAGTAAACTGGCTGATCAAGCGTGAGTAACTCATTATTGCATGGTCGTCAATACTGCAATTATTGTGTTGAGGACAGGGGGTCGTATAAATGCTACTTAAACGAGTTTCAAATCTACTTACTTTAAAAGCGTATTATCTTCAAGCATTTTTTGTTGAGTACGCCTTTTAAAGTTTGTTGTACCTCTTTAACTTTCACTAAAAATCTTACAACCTTGCAAGGTCTTCAAGAATATAACTTCTCGACCCGCTATTGCTATCCGCTCTTACGCGACACTTAAGTTTTGCTACTGGATCGACACCATGTTTTTCAACCGTAATCGTAAGACAATTTTTGATGAGCTCATTTTCAATCCAGATCTTCAATACGTTACCATTCCTTTAAAATATGTTTGAAATAGCTTAAGAGCTTGCTCATTTAATGAAGACAAATTCCCAGACCCTGCAACTTCTTTGGCACTTCTGATCGCCACAGCAACTACTAATAAAAATTTTGCTAGACAACATCTGCCTAATCCTCGTGCCTATATTTTATTGAAGAAACTGCTGCCGTACTACTAATACTAACGTAACGGATTTATTCCAGGCTTGCAGCAATCACACAACCGTGAATTTCGATGGTCAAGATCAAGGCTCTTCCCTCCTTTTTATGAATCTTGATCTAATGGCTGCTCTAAATCAAGGTTTGTTTCCTTGCCAATCAGGGCTCACCTGTCATATATTGCTCGTCTATATGTTATAGTGGAGAATAATTTGGCGATTATTTTAAGACCTGTTTAGACCAACGCGTGGAAAGCAAATGACACATTTAAACACTCCTTTTTTAATTCAGAAATCTGTTCCAGCTAATAATTCTAGCACATCATACTTCGCTAAGCCGACGGATAGCATTTCTTCTGCCGCTTTCATAACAGAGCCCTGTCGAACCCGCAACAACCTTTGCATTGAGTTAATCCAATGTTTTGAAATCCGTCAAGTACATTTTTCATCTTCTCCAATACGATTGCCAGAATTGGCGCCATCAACGGTGATCAAACTCCAGGAATTTGTCAATGACCACCTACATACTAACCAAGTTGTCTAACAAATTGCTCCAAGGCATATTGACTTGGAGTTTATCTACTGTCTCATTGAAAACAGTTTATTGATCACGGGAAGATTAATCTGAGCTGAAGTGAGAAGTGCATCCACAGCGGCCATGTGGATGCACTTCTAGTTTAATACGAAGCCGCATCTTCTGATAGGCGCATTCATAACTTATCGGGTCCAAGGCGTCATTCTGAACACATCCGACATATTTGGTTTATATTTACTTACCGCAGTCTATAATTAAATCTTGTCTTGGATCGCTCATTCACTATCTCTTGATCATCAAACGGCTTTCTATCACCTACTTCTGCCACCACTCTTCAGCAACTTGATTGACTCTGTCTGAGGCAACCTCCTTCGACTTTGTGCTCAATCTCCTACAATTTCTTCATCTTGGCATCTGCTTAGCATAGTCGTCCTTCCTCGTCGCTTTGTTAATTCTTCAGCTATTCATCGCGGCCATTATTCAGATTGATCTCATTTTCTGTGCTTGAGGTGCACAAATGCACAAATTTATTGTCGCCTTTATCTTATTAAGGGAAGGAAGGATGAAATGAGCTATTTGAGTGTGTAATGAATAGCAGCGGGTGAGCAATTATAAGGATCGGAACGACATGTGTCATCGAGTAGAGAACAACCTAGAGATATCATTGGCAGTATATTTAAAGTTTCCGTGCAATGCATGGATTTCTTTGGATGCACTTAGCGGCGACAATAGATTGTCGTAAACCATTTTTTATTGTGCCATGAACAAATGTAATATGGATCAGGCTGCACATATTGCAGTGACTGCACATCTTGTGGAAGCGAATCTATGGACAAATGACTAAATTAGTAGTTCTTTTACTGTAACTTAAATTTGCTGCATGCAATGTAAATTTCCAGCAAGTACCGAAGTATATTCATGAAGATTATGGGACAGCACAAAAAAGTTAGTTTTAATATTCAATAAAGAAAAACAATTTTAATTAAGACTAGCTTGGAAAGAGTGTAAGTTATTTTTATCAGCAGAGCAGCCTCGATAACTATTTGCTTTCAACGGTTTGGGTTTTGCCCTGGGTGACGCGTACGTACTCATTCGCTGTGCGTTATATACGAGGAGTGTGCAAGTTAAAGCTTTCTCTGTGCAAAGTGCATGGCATCTCTGTTGCAGCAACAATTTCGCTACTCAAGCTAGGAGGTCTCGCCCGAAAATGAGCACTGCAGTGCAAATCCTCGTTAGATAAGGCCTTCCCAGCTTGAGACAATGTGAAACATCAGATGTAGCGGGTGCTCTCACAGCCTAAACAGGCGTATTGTATTATAATGGCGCCGACCTTCTCCCAGAGGCGGTATCGATTGTCATCTTCCTGGGGAGTCACCGAATGGGTGAGGCCTGTGCCGAGACCTTCTGTGTGAACCCTACCTCTTTTGAGGAAGCGGTCAGCATCCCGTTCAACGCGGGATACCACTTCGGTGCCGCGAAGGCAATATGGGATACTTGGAATGTAAGTTTTACGAATGCGCCTCGAGACAGTTAATCTTAGCCATGGTGCGGAGGGAATTGAAATCTCATAGCTGTTGAGCAGCTTCGCGGTAACCGCAGATGTTTTATCCGCGGAAGTGCAAAAAATCTGCTCCTTCCCTGCTCCATTCGCTTTCGGCTAAGGGGTATGGATAATCGGACTTCCACGCAAAGGTAGACCCCTCGCACGACAGGGTCAATTATCAGTAGAGAAGAACGGACTACTCAGAAAAACAGGGTTAAATTTTACCTTGTGGGGATCTAAGAATGTGGGTTTAAACCCTTAAAAAAGCGACTCCCTTTAAAATTAATAGGACTCATAACTAGGGTCAGCGGTTGTTAGTATCAACATTTCAAGCTTTGTATAGCTGTTATGAATCATTATAGATTTAGAAACGTCGTGGGCCCAAGTACAACACGAGATTGTCGAAGTAGCAGGCAGTACGCGGAGGCATTGAAGATGCCAAATCCAGAACGATATATGGGTGCCTTGGTAAACAAAAAGCAATGGTAAACCTTAAGAAAAATTGTGTGGATATTTACAGCGTAGAACGTTGTCTCGTCCTGGAACTAGGCAAATTCTCCGTATGGTGTAGCTGGAACGTCCCAAACCATAGGTCATCTGGAAGTTAAAAAAAATAGGTTAGACATACTTCTTTTCTTGTGAGGCATTGGTGCGTCATGGATCCACCTCTACCAGAAATAGAAGCGATTTTGATGCGGATAAAAACTGCAATATCTTCCGTACAGAATATGGAATTTCCGAATTTGATTGCAATGATGTTGCTAAGTTCTTCGAGCGGAAGGAGGAAGGAGGAAACGGGAGTGAGCCGAGACCTCAGAATGAACGGAAAGGCGAGATTTTATTGCGGTCCAGAGTGCATTTCTGTCAAGACGAAGAAAGACGACTCTATGTAGAGATCCGCAGAATGTGTCTCTGACGAGACATTAGCGAAAAGCTGTGACCTATTGTCGCCTGTGCAGAACCGGTGGAGAGTGAAATCGATTGGGTGCTGCATTCTCCCTCTCCAATGCCTACGAATAGTGGAAGTATTTGGTTGTTGAGGCCCCCTGAGCCAAAACGCCGTTGGGGTGGAAGGGTGACTGTAAGTCGCGAGTAGAAGATGCGGGTCCTGGACTTACAATGAAGGCTTTATCCATGTCAAGATATGACTGTACTGCTGAGTAAGCATAATTGGGTGGTGGGTTCACCATGAGGAACAGTGAATCCAGGGGATAAGTAGCAAAAACGGAGTTTAAGTTCGCAAACGAAGTGATCCGAATGGTTTTGATCCCCAGAAAGCGTGCGATGAATCGCAAGATGATGCGGTCAATGTCCTGATGTATTTTTACAGGAGTGGCATCAAAGCTCTTCATCAGCCATAGATGATTTATTCATCGGGGACACTCGCAGACACTAAGCTCAGTTGAACAGCTATCCGCACGGATGCTTCGAGATTTTTTATCTATGTTGAAACAATATTACAATGCACCCACCAAGCTCGAACAGGAGGGTTCTCCGGGTACCAAACATTGCGTCACACTGATGTCGTCCTTACCAAAGAGTTAGTGTGACATCATTGACGCCATTCCCGTGCCAAGTACAAGGCATTTTGCTGTGATAGGATAAGACTTTGAGTAAATTGTTTTAGAAGTAGCTAGTTTGGCCACCTTACCTATCTACCGCACCAGCGACGCCGAATCGTTGAGTTACGAAGACAAGTATTTCTGTGTGCGCATATTTAGAACTTGCGCGAAATTTGCTGGTATATGCGCTTGAATGGACAGTTACTTTTATATAGACAAGTGTGTCTTTGTTAGAACAAATTCTCTTTTTTCGAGATGCTCCATTTGGACTGAGCAGACTACGTTCATTATATATATATATTTTTATGAAAATATTTTATATAAAAAAATATATCTTTTTAGTGAAAATATATTCATATTAAATTTATTGTTTATAATGTGATTATAGATTAATGGTAAATTTTTTATCTTCCAAGTAATTTTGGTCAGTGTTCTGTCCAAGAAGACTAATTAAGTCTCTTGGCTTGGTCGATTGCCTACAAAAGCTATATTGCAGTTTCACGTCGACATTACACGACTTCGCACGATACAAAGATGAAGTG